ATCTTCCGTCCTTCCTTCCTTCCTTCCTTCCTTCCTTCCTTCCTTCCTTCCTTCCTTCCTTCCTTCCTTCCTCATATGATGAAGTCTCTGGCCAATTTACAAGATAATCAATTAGAACAATTTAAAATGTAAGATAATAAAACTTTACAACACAAATTTAAACTTTCAAAAATATTAAGTTGTGCATAATTTCAAAGTATATGTTAAAACACACACACACAATGTACAGTCATAGCAAAAAGCCAAATTTTAACTTGGTGTGGAGCTGTAATGAAAATTAGCATCAATGCGGGGCCCTTCCACACAGCGGTGTAAAATCCCACATTATCTGCTTTGAACTGGGATATATGGCAGTGTGGACTCAGATAGCCCAGTTCAAAGCAGATATTGTGGATTAACTGCCTTAATATTCTGGGTTATATGGCTGTGTGGAAGGGCATGTAATGTCCAAGGAAAGGGCATTCCACAACCAGGAAGCCTATGGCTGAGAAGGCCATCTCCTATCACCTGACACAGCGTATTGCTCCCACTTGGGATAAACACAGGGGCCTTCCACACAGCTGTGCAAAATCCACATTGTGGACTCAGATATTCCAGTTTAAAGCAGGTATTGTGGATTATCTACTTTGATATTCTGGGTTATATGGCTGTGAGGAAGGGCCCACAGCCAAATAATGGGCTCACTCCATGTCTTCATATAGATATTGAAGAATAAGTGAGATAGGATGAAACTATATGGCACCCCACAACTTAATAGCCATGTGGATTAGAAGGAATCTTTCTATACTGCTCTCTGGTACCACATATAGGAATGGAAGCACTGTAACAAATCAATTCCTACTCACATTGCTCGGAGCCAGTTCAGTAAGGGCCTTTCCAGACAGGATCTGGTCCCAGGTTTTCTGTTTATCCCAGATTCATATAATCCAGTTTAAAGCAGAAAACCTGGGATCAGATCCTGGGGTGTAAGGCCTGTCTGGAAGAGCCCTATGACACCATTACCAGTGGTTTCAAAAGCTGCTGTGACATCCAGGAAGATCAACAGAACAACACTTCCCATATCTCATCTGGAGGAGGGCAGCTAAGGACAGCTGCTTCATCATTGTACCCTGACCTGATATTAGATTGGAATTGGTCAAGATAATTCCTTTTCTCCAAGAACATCTGAAATCATTTGAGTGCATTGACCAAATATGGTTATGAGTGGTGCAGTGGTAGTAGCCGCATTCTTCTAGGTCCAGGGAAGCATTCTGCAGAACAGGGTGATCAGATTTAGGCTCACTGCACCCCCTAACCTCTGCAAAGGTGGAGGACCCATTAAGATGGTCCGCCCCAGGAGACTGATGGATCCGAATGGATTCCTGACGGCTCTTGGGGATTTTCCCGCCACCTCGGTAGGTGACCATGTCGAAGCCTTGGTGGCTCTCTGGAATGGGGAGATGACCAGGGCTATTGATATGATTGCTCCGGAACGTCCCCTCTCAAGTAGCCGAGCTAAACCAGCCCCTTGGTTTACTGAGGAGCTGGCAGCTATGAAGCGAAGGAAGAGGGAACTAGAGAGCGTGTGGCGTTCGGATCCGAGCGAGTCAAATCGAGCACGGTTTGTGTCCTTTCTAAGGGCATATGCCGCGGCAATAAAAGCCGCAAAAAAAACTTTCTTTGCGGCCACTATTGCGTCTGCAAGGAACCGTCCGGCGGAGTTGTTTCGGATTGTCAGAGGTCTTTTAACTCCCGCCACCTCAGGCGGGAGCCCTGACAATTCGGTCACGCGCTGTGAAGCATTTGCTCGGTTCTTCGCAGACAAAGTCGCCTTGATCCGTTCTGGGCTGGACGCCGCATTAGATGCAGACTCTGTGGATGTAACGAGAGCACCTGCTTGTCCTATTTTGTTGGATTCTTTTCAGTTTGTGAAACCCGAGGATGTGGACAAGATACTTGGAGGAATGAGGCCCACCACGTCCATCCTAGACCCCTGCCCATCCTGGCTTCGGAAGGAGGCCAGAGGGGGATTGGCCGAGTGGGTAACGGTGGTGGTTAATGCCTCCCTTCGGGAGGCAAGATTCCAGCGAGCCTAAAACAGGCTATTATAAAACCGCTGTTGAAGAAACCATCACTGGACCCCACTAAATTGGACAACTTTCGGCCTGTTTCCAATCTTCCCTTTTTGGGCAAAGTCATGGAAAGCGTGGTGGCCTCACAACTCCAGGTATTCTTGAGAGACACGGATTATCTGGATTCGGCACAGTCTGGTTTCAGACCGGGACATGGAACTGAGACGGTCTTGGTCACCTTAGTGGATGATCTGCGCCGGGAGCTAGACAGGGGGAGTGTGTCCCTGTTGGTGCTCCTGGACCTCTCAGCGGCCTTCGATACCGTCGACCACGGTATCCTTCTGGGGCGCCTTGCGGAAATGGGTCTTGGGGGCATTGCTTTGCAGTGGCTCCGGTCATTTCTGGAGGGTCGCACCCAGAAGGTGTCATTGGGGGACTCCTGTTCCGCACCACAACCTTTGACTTGTGGGGTGCCTCAGGGTTCCATACTGTCCCCCATGCTGTTTAACATCTACATGAAGCCGCTGGGTGAGATCATCCGGAGTTTCGGGGTGCGGTGTCATCTGTACGCAGATGATGTCCAACTCTGTCACTCCTTTCCACCTGCTACTAAGGAGGCTGTCGAGGTCCTGAACCGGTGCCTGGCCGCTGTAACAGTCTGGATGAGGGCGAACAAACTGAAACTAAATCCAGACAAGACAGAGGTACTCCTGGTCAGTCGCAAGGCCGAACGGGGTATAGGGTTACAGCCTGTGCTGGATGAGGTCGCACTCCCCTTGAAGGCGCAGGTTCGCAGCTTGGGTGTGATCCTGGACTCATCGTTGAGCCTGGATCCCCAGGTTTCAGCGGTGACCAGGGGAGCATTTGCACAGCTCAGGCTCGTGCGCCAGCTGCGCCCGTACCTCGGGAAGTCTGACTTGGCCACGGTGGTACACGCTCTTGTCACATCCCGCTTGGACTACTGCAACGCTCTCTACGTGGGGCTGCCCTTGAAGACGGCCCGGAAGCTTCAGCTGGTTCAGCGTGCGGCAGCCATGTTATTAACTGGAGCGGGTGGCAGGGAGCACACAACGCCCTTGTTGTCCCAGCTCCACTGGCTGCCGATTTGCTACCGGACCCAATTCAAGTTGCTGGTTTTGGCCTTCAAAGCCCTAAACGGTTCCGGCCCAAAATACCTTGCTGACCGCATCTTGGCCTACGAGCCCTCGAGGACCTTGAGATCATCTGGGGAGGCCCTTCTCTCGGTCCCGCCTGCCTCACAGGCACGGCTGGCGGGGACGAGGGAGAGGGCCTTCTCGGTGGTGGCCCCCCGGCTGTGGAACACTCTCCCTGCACACATTAGACAGGCGCCCTCCCTCATGTCCTTTCGAAAAAGCCTTAAGACCTGGCTGTTCGAGAGGGCATTTAATTAAGTACGAGCAACAACACTACGGTAGTGAGAACTGGAATGGTATAAGGATGAGGAGACTGGCCTATGATTCTACGAAGAGACGAAGCGGATTTTTATGTAGTCTGTATTTGTTGTATTGTGTGTATTGTGGATACTGGCTTTTGTAACTGTCTTTTTACGTGTACTGTACACCGCCATGAGTCGCCCGTAAGGGCTGAGAATGGCGGCTAATAAGTGCATCAAATAAACATAATTTGCTTGAAGGCAGAGACACCTCTCTCTGCCTTAGCAAGTATTTACCACCCTTGAAAGGGACAGCCTCAGGCTGGGTGCTCACGTGGTATTATATGGAGGCTCCAGAGCAGAATGCTTTTCTGCTGGTATTATGGGTCTGCTTTGAGGAGCCTTTCTGCAGGGATAAGGTTCAAGCTAAACTGATGAACCTTAAGCAAGGATCCCTATCAATTTCAGAGTATGTCCAAGAGTTCCAGAAATTGGCCACCCATGTCCCAGGCTAGAATGAAACTTTTAAAATCCAAGCTTTTAAAAATGGTTTGAAAGCGGATTTTCTGGAATGGATGTTCTCCCAGGATAACTCTGACACCTTGATGTGTTCAGTGGTCCTCACTGAACAAGTAGAGATGATAAAAGAAGAGGTGAAGAGAGTGTGCCAAAAGCAAGGTTTGCCAGCTAAACACGCAGGAAAGAAAGACAGCAAACAACCAGGAGAGGAAACAGTATAGACCCAGTGGTGGGGAAAGCAACATTGTAATATAGGACTTTGTTTGTTTTGTGGAGAGAGGGTCATTTAGCAGCCGCTTGATCAGAGAGCACCAGGAAAATCTCAGACAGAAGGCAAGAGAACAGGCAGAAGACAGATAAAGAAGGAGAGCAGAAAATGAAGGTGCCAGCCCTGGCTGCAAAGTCTCAACAAGAAAAATTATTCCACTCTCCTACCCCCAGCCTTGGTATCTCATGTCGGCAAAGCAACCAACACTGAAGACATGTCAGGAAATGAGAGTTGCTGGGATTAGAGCATGTTGGCAGCAGGAAAACGGTGTCAAAGCCAATGGTGGCAGTGTCCCCCTCTTTTGGATGAGAGTGCATTTTAGAAAAGGGAAACAGGTGATTTGGAAATAGCCTGAGGTTCCTGACACTCATAGTATCCATAATCCCCAAATAAACTAAGGGAAATAAGGTGAATCTCCAAATGCATCAGGCTAGCTCCCATCCTCCAAACCTTCCGCACACAATTAAAGTCATGGCTTTTTTGACAAGCCTTCAACCATGTTTAGATTCTCCAATAATACATATGAGGATCTTTAGACTCTCTATCAAGCACTTTACAATTCTGAGATTGAATACTGCTCTTCAGCTTTGAAATGGAGATGAGCACCACCCCTCAGAGTCGGAAACAACTAGACTTAATGTCAAGGGGAAACATTTACTTTTACCCATCAATAAACAGATCAATAAACAAGATCACAGATCAATAAACAAGAAAACATCAAGGGTCTCCTCAATCCATCTTTTAGCTAAAAACAAGACAACGCCTGTGGTTCTGCATTTAGTGATTTTTAATACAATTGTACAAAATATGTCTTACAAGAATAGTGAAAGACTGAAAACAATTTTCCTTTCTGAATTGCTTTTAAGCATGTAAGTATATATAGCCAGGCAGGTTTCTCTGACAGTGACAAGGGATTATTTCAAGGGTATGTTAAGGATATCATCATCAGAGACAAGGAGGTGCTCCTTGTCTGTGATGGACACAAAGCATACAATTTTGTTCCTGTGGCACTTCAGGGGCAGTAAGCAAGGATTGCAAGGCTTCTCTGGAACTTCAAGAGGCACTCATGCAAATCCAAAACCTCACTTCAGGAAAAACAATCAAACTCACAACCTACTGAAATAGAAGGCAATGTATTTTGAGCATGCCCCATCTAGATAATACTCATGATAGCAATGATGGTGAAAAACAGCTTTTCTCACCATTGACATCACCCATCAGTAATAATAAAGCACTCAGAGCTGTTGCTATTTTGCTTTTCAGAAAAAGAGAAGAAGACATGCAATGTGAAGCAGTTTGCTGTCATATAAACGTTAGCTCCCAACATCGCTTTAGTGCACTAGCCCTTAAGAATGAACAAATCAAAACAGTCAGTTGGTGTCTGGGAAACAAGCTGGGTCCTGGATTTAGATGCAACTAGTCTTCTGGTTCTCTTTTTTGGTTCATGGTCTCTACAATCCAATCCACATAGTTTGTCACCTTTGTGTAAAGACCATAAGTGCCACATTTTGGCCCCCAAGAAACTAGGCCGGCAACATAGTAACGTGTCTCATTATGGGGATCTCGGATGACATATGCCCCACCACTATCCCCTTGACAACTGTCCTGCTGGCCATCCCCAGCACAAATCATATTATCTGTGAAGACGTAGGTCAACAAATCTGTGGGGGGATCCGGCTTCACTCTTTGGCACACCTCCATCTCTTGCACTGGGACCGTGGCTGCTTTCAGTTTCATGGATTTTCTTTGTCTTTCTGTCCTGCCCCAACCAGCTACAAACCCTAGAGTCCCAATCTGAGGATCGTAGTCAGAAGATGTGCCAGGAAGGCAGACTGGAGAGATGGTGGGGCCTAGTGTCACGGGTTTCTTCAGTCTCAGCAGAGCAATGTCATTATCAAAGTTAGTCCGGGGTTCTGTTGCAGTTGTCCAGTTGGGATGAATGAACACATCATCCACATCTAGTGGGCTAGCTCCCCTCAATGCACTGGGGCCAGCTAAGAGCAGGCCAGCATAGATAGTTGGGTTTGGGTTTCCATCCAGCACATGGGCTGCTGTAACTATCCAGCGATCTGAAATGAGAGCTCCTCCACCTTGTGGACTGTAAAAATAAATCTGCCAAGGGAAGTTTCCTGATTTAGCAAATACACCTCCAAAAATCCGCCCTGCTTCTTCAATAGGTGTATGGGAAATTCCACAGACTACAGAAAGAAAGCAAGAAAAAAGAACTTATACTGAGACAGGATCCAACAATTTATAGTGACATTTAAATATTTATATGTAGGGTGTGCTCTGCAATAGTTTCATAGCTAGACCCAAGTTTATGACAGTGTCTCATTTTGGACCAGTGTCTGGTCACAAATGGATGTGTGTGCGTGCGTGCGTGTGCTCACATATGCTCTTCCCAACATCTCTTTGATTCCTTTTTTTGTCACTTTTAATATTGCTTGTGTGCTATTGAAAATTGAACGTTTAACTTCCCTAAGACCCTGTCCCTTCATTAGAGTATAGGCAAGTTCAACAACCACATGCCCTTCAATATGTAGCAGATTACAATTCCCATCCCCTGCTAGTATGGCCAGTGCTGGGTTCTCAGACACTTGGAAGGCACAAGATAAGAGAAAGTTATAGTGTAACAATGTAATAAATAGTTTTTAAATATATGATGGAGTGGTAGATATCAGAATGATAAATGGGACAGTTATTTCATTAATTTCAGATCTGGCTAAAATCCCATCCAAAGATTATTAAATTATACAGTGAATATGACACTCTGCCCATCGGACACCTGGACACATCATTGGCCCAGATGCCAAGCTCTTGTTTAAAGTAAAGCAAACTTCCAGCACTTGTAAGAGCAGAATCATGGGGCAGAGCATAGAGCCGTTTTTCTGACCAATAGTTCAGCGACAGATAATCCAGGCTTGACTCTTGAGTGTACTCAGCCAATGAGTAAAGTCTCACATCTAAACATTGATAGGGATAACAGAGTTATAGTAGTAGATAGGTACTGTCATCATTATTTATACTGTTGTCCTTGGATTTCCTATCTTATCAGAAAGAGATAGACTGCAAACTCAGAAGGTATAGGATATTTACATTGCTTTGAACTTCTGCCGCTGTGTTCCCACTTTTTCTGGTCTGGAACTCTCTCCCTTAACACTGCAAAGCCTACAGTGGTCCCTTCCAATGAGTTGCAAAATGAGACATTGTACCTGGGATACACACTGGAAGCTCTGCATTCTCTTCTTCATCTACCCATTTCCCACTGGCTGAACACCGATAGATTCCTTTAAAAAGAAAGAAATACAACAATGAGTCTTGATGTTTCTTTAGAGTCAGTCTTAGGGCCTTTTTACACAGGCCTTAAAATGTGGAAGAAACCAATATAAAAGAGGTGCGTGGCTAAATGATGTTTGCTGAAAATGTGTTCTGGATTGCATTAACAGCTGAAAAACACTTAAAATCCAATTTTGCTCAAAAAATGCACATACAGTGTTCCCTCACTCATCGTGAGTGTTCCATTCCAGAACCACCCACAATAAGTGAAATACCACAAAGTAGGGACGCTCCCTCCCCTCTCCCTCACTTCGTCTTCCCTTTCCTCTCCTCTTTTCCCTCCTTCCCTCCGGCGCCCATGCCACCCTCACCTGGCAAAAGGGACACTTTGCCTCAGGTTGTGCTGCTTCTGCAGGAGCTGCCGCACTTCAGCCAGGTCTCCTCTGGTGGTGACCTGAACAAGAGGGACAATTCCTTCCTCCGCCACTTTCCCTCCTTTTGTCCCTCTCACTTGGGTCATGCTGCTTCTGCAGGAGCTACCGCACTTCAGCCAGGTCTCCTTTGGTGGTGGGCCAGTGCAGCCTGGACAGCTCTGTGCTCCAGACCTTTTTGCCCCTGCCTGGCCTGGGGCAGCGGCTCCGGCGGCTCCCTCCCCTTCCTCCCCAGTCCCACAATCTTCTTCTTCCTTCTCCTTTTCTTTCTCCCACAGCCTCAGGAGGGAAAGCTGCGAAGGAAGGAAAGCAAAAAGGGAAGGAGAGAAGGCGAGGAGGAGGAGGGCTGAGCAGGTGAAAGTGTCCTCCTTGCCAGGGGAGGGTGGCATGAGAACCTGAGGGAGGGAGGAAAGGAGGGGAAAGAGGAGAGGAAAGAGAAAGCAAAGTGAGAGAGAGAGACTGAGAGAGGGAAGGCGAGGAGGCGGAGGGCTGCGCAGGGAAAACTGCAAAACAGCGAGTCCGCTGTAAGCGAAACGCGAATGAGAAAGAGAACACTGTATTCACATGACCTTATATCCCTGTAGTAAAGGGAAACATGTAACTTCATTCCTATACACTGGTGTGGACTTTTCCAATGCATGTGTGCATTATAAAATCCCAAACGGCTTATGAGGGCTGTAAACAATTGGACACACAGGTGGCTAAATGGAAGCACAATTGGAGAGCACTTCCCATGATAACTTTCTGTAACCATTCTTTTATTCTCAAGTTTATGAAATCAAACAGAGCTTGAATTTACACAGTGGGCACCAGCATGGCAGGCATGTGACCCCAAAGGGAAATGGGGTTCAAGAAGGCAAACATAAAGGCGGCAGGAGGGTGAGGGGAGATAATAACAAGAAATCTGTTTGTGTGCACATCCATATATCCACATCAGCATTTATGAGGTCCAGCACATCTCGGAGAGTCAATTTTTAAAAAGTAAACTTCCGGCAGTTGTCCACCATCTATGTTGCTGATTTCTAAAATCCACTACAAACAAATGTGTCAGGACCTCAGAGGAGCATTTATTGGGACCGAAAGCTCCATGATTATTGGACTTGCTGTCATGTACCACTATTTTTTGTCCCACTTATTTGTCCTGGAGTATGAGGCTGTTTGGAAGCACCCTTAGGTTTAATCCAGGAAAGCACTTCCTCTGTCCCGAAATATTAGTGCTGCCACCAGATGCCGAATATGCCATGCTGTGAATATGCCATGTTTTGTAAACAATCCCAAAGGTCTCTTTTCTGTAATGGAACCAACATGAGTGAAACTGCTGTCAGAAGAATATTGGAATGATGTACAAATTGAAAACATCACAATATTCCTATCCCTAATTCTGCCCCAGAAAGTCACTGGAAGATCAATTGAAAAAGATGGGACACACCATTTCCATTGCTCTTTAGTGTATAGTAGGGCTCACGGCATACATAGCGGATAGTGGCTTGGTAATGAGTATCCTCAGATTCTGTCAGGAAAATGACAGCTCCATTTTCAAGATGATCAGGCACACCACAATCTACAGCTGCAAAGACAAAGTAGAATAGATGTGGGTTAAAGTAATGTCCTCTATCTGTCTCTTATTCAATCTTCATTCAACCTGAGCCTTTCAATTGTTTCTTCCTAGATGTGTTGCATTGTTTACACAATCTTCTAGTCCACTGTTCCGTCCCTTTCCAGGTCTAAGTCTAGAACAACATTAATTCCTTCCACAAAGAAACCTGTCTGTATCAAGTCATAAAAACTTTTATTGTATCAAGGAGCAGCATTCAAGCTGGCCAGATCCTTGTGGGATATATTCATACTCGACAGCAGTGGTTCTCAACCAGTGGGTCCCCAGATGTTTTGGCCTTCAACTCCCAGAAATCCCAGCCGCTGAGAACCACTGCTTTACAGCCACCACAAAGGAGTTAGTCACAGACCCACACTGATGAGGAAAACTCTACATGTAGATCAGTAGCTCTCAACTTGTGGTTCTCCAGGTGTTTTGGTAGGCCTATGAAAGCTGCAAAATGCGATTTAACCCATGGGGTGACCTTGGGTGAGTCACTCTCTCTGGGCTTCAGAGAAAGGTGATGGTAAATATCTTCTGAACAAATCCCTCCCCCCAAAATCACCCTGTTTTAGGTTCACTTTAGGCTTTCCATAGTTTAGAAATGACTTGAAAATGTACAGCAACTGCAGTAGCAGCAAAAACAACAACACTACATCTCACTTGGATATCGAAATATTGCCAAAAACCATATTATAATCTCATCAAGTTTATTTACAAATAATTTTACAATTGTATCCCAAATCTGATAATAAATTATATATAACCTTTTAAGGCAGTAGTTCCCAACCTGTAGGTCCCCAGATGTTTAGGCCTACAACTCCCAGAAATCCTAGCCAGTTTATCAGTTGTTAGGATTTCTGAGAGTTGAAGGCCAAAACATCTGGGGTCCCACAGGTTGAGAACCACTGATGTAGAGGAAAGCTATCTTAAAGCTCCTACTGCATCTGCTTACACTACTAAAGAAGCAAAATGCATTCTAAACTCCATGTATAATTGAAAAGTAGGTTGCCTATTCAGCATACAGGCATAACTACAAAGAGCTCCCCCATCTCTCTAGAACAGTGGTTCTCAACCTGGGGTCCCCAGATGTTTTTGGCCTACAACTCCCAGAAATCCTATCAATTGGTAAACTAGCTGGGATTTCTGGGAGTTGTAGGCCAAAAACATCTGGGGACCCCACGTTGAGAACCACTGCTCTAGAAGGATTGGTCTTATTGACCCAACAGATGTTGCACCATCCCCTAAACCACAAAACTACTGCTAATCACTGGGAGGCATACAAGGTGTTCTGGAAGCAGGTTAGTTAGCAAATGGGGTGAGCTTGGCTCTACCTCTGGTGACCTCTCAGCTTCATTTTGGTAATCTCACCTTCTGGCCCATAAGCATGAGTAGGCATCAGCAGTTATGCAATTCCAAGATTCCCCCCCCCCCTGTTATAGCATTCTCAAGACAACCTGAAAGCATCCTAGGAATCACAGGTGGGCCATAATTCACCACTACAAGAAGCAGCACTTACGGACACATCTGCGGTCAGAGTAGCTCCATTTGCCATTGCTTTCGCAGCGTGACCGGAAGGACACAAGGTTGGTTTTTGGCTGAAGAAAACAATTCAGAGATACTGGATTTAATTCACTTGAGAAAGGAATCACATCTCCTCCTTTCTCCTTCCCTCAGAGCGATCTTGGGCATTATTCAGCTCTTGTAGGTGGGGATGAGGAGGTGGAATTCTGAGCCAAACACAGTTCTTGGAACTTTGTCTCCAACCATCTGAATAGCTAAGAACGCATTGTTGAATTTCCTCATATTTGATCCTTGCTTCCCCTGCCAGCCCTCTTCCTGCCATTTCTCTTACATGCTTCCCCCTTCCTTCAGCCACATAATTTACTGGTGATACTGAGACTTGAATTTCTTATGGGCATGGGACTGTAACCCTCTTTATGTTTACTATCAGGCACTCAGCATGATGATTTCACTGTGCTAACTATACCATTAAGATGACCTGCTGCAGAAAACAACAGGAAAGTGACTATTAGGAATCAGGCAAAGCATTGGAATGGGGACTCCTGGCTCAACAGCAGTACGTGTGAAAAAGATCTTGGAGTCCTCGTGGACAACAAGTTAAACATGAGCCAACAATGGGATGCTGCAGCTAAAAAAGCCAATGGGATTTTGGCTTTCATAAATAGGAGTCTAGTGTCTAGATCCAGGGAAGTCATGCTACCCCTCTGTTCTGTCTTGGTTAGACCACACCTGGAGTACTGTGTCCTATTCTGGGCACCACAATTGAAGAGAGATATTGACAAGCTGGAATGTGTGACTAAAATCATCAAAGGTCTGAAGAACAAGCTCTATAAGGAGTGGCTTAAAGAGCTGGATGTGTTTAGCCTACAGAAGAGAAGACTGAGAGGAGACATGATGAGGGCCATGTATAAATATGTGAGGGGAAGTCATAGGGAGGAGGGAGCAAGCTTGTTTTCTGCTGCCTTGGAGACTAGGAGCAATGGCTTCAAACTACAGGAAAGGAGATTCCACCTGAACATTAGGAAGAACTTCCTAACTGTGAGAGCTGTTCAGCAGTGGAACTCTCTGCCTCGAAGTGTAGTGGAAGCTTCTTCTATGGAGGCTTTTAAACAGAGGTTGGCTAGCCATCTGTCAGGGTGCTTTGTTCTGCTTCTTGGCGGGGGGTTGGACTGGATGGCCCACGAGGTCTCTTCCAACTCAATGATTCTATGATCTAATATTTTCAGAGTTAATGCCCCACTACCAATGCAAAACCAACCTTGCAAGGAGCCTACAGAAGAAGTTCTATTTCAATGTATTGTCGAAGGCTTTCATGGCCGGAATCACTGGGTTGTTGTATGTTTTTCCGGGCTATATGGCCGGAAAATGCCTCTAGAACATGGCCATATAGCCAGGAAAAACCTACAACAACCCAGTTCTATTTCAGTTGGCCTAGCAAACTGAAACAGACAGTCCATAATCCATTTGTCCAGGAAGACAAGTGAAACTACCATCAAGTATGAAGCCTCTCAGTCTGGATAATTTGTCATTGAGAGAGTCTCACTCAACTCCCACCTCTGCAAATTCTTATTCTGTGAAGTATCCTACTACCCATCCTCAGTCTGTTTCCAGCTGGCTGAAAAACTGGCCAGCCAGATTGTCAGCTAACTAGGGACCCTACCAGATAGGCCCTATATCCCAGGATCTGATCCCAGGTTTTCTGTTTCTCCCAGATTATCTGGCAGTGCGGACTCATATAATCCCGTTTAAAGCAGAAAACCTGGGAGCAGATCTTGGAATATAGGGTCTGTCTGGAAGGACTCTTTGTTTCAGCTCTCAAGACACCTGCCTAGTCTCAGCTTCTGACACTGATGGAGACACTGATGAACCTTCTCTAAGTGCAGGTACCATGGTACAGTACAGTTGGGAAAGAGTGTTCAGCACGCCTGCATGCTTGATGCACTACATCCATGTCCCACTGCCAATAGGAATGTTAGAAAGTGTTAAGGATAGCTCCATTTGATGTGCGTGGACTTACCATCACAACCTCATGGCCTTCTATACAAGTTACCAATACAGAATCCTTAAAAACATAGCCGTCTCTTATGGGATCCACCACAGAATTTGGAATAACAGTCTTCGGACAGGGCATGGCTTTGAACAAAGAAAAGTTTTTCAACAATATGATACAAATTTTAAAGGAGCATTGTTTCCTACTTATGTACTTTCATAATCCCTCCGCCATATAGATACACACACACACACACACACACACATACATATGTAGGAATCTATATAAATAAAAATGTAATGCTCGTTTGTGGAATTAACAAAACTCAAAAACCACTGGATGAATTGACACCAAATTTGGACACAAGACACCTAACAACCCAATGTACGTCCTTCACTCAAAAAATTAGATTTTTTTTCATTTGGGAGTTGTAGTTGCTGGAATTTATAGTTCACCTACAATTAAAGAACATTCTGAACTCCACCAATGATGGAATTGAACCAAAGTTGGCACACAGTTCTCCCATGACCAACAGAAAATACTGGAAGGGTTTGGTGGGCAGTGTCCTTTGGTTTTCAAGTTGTAGTTCACCTACATCCATAGATCACTGTGGACTCAAACAATGATGGATCTGGACCAATCTCTACACGAATACTCAATATGCCCAGATGCAAACACTGGTGGAGTTTGGGGAAAATAGAATCTTGACATTTGGGAGTTGTAGTTGCTGGGATTTATAGTTCACCTACAATCACAGACCATTCTGAACCCTACCAACAATAGAATTGGGCCAAACCTCCCACACAGAACCCCCATGTGGGCCACAGCAACGCATAGCAGGGGACAGTTAGTCTATATAAATAAAAATGTAATGTTTGTTTGTGGGATTAACATAAGTAAAAACTACTGGATGAATTGACACCAAATTTGGACACAATACACCTATCAGGCCAACAAATGTCCATTACTCATAGAAACACTGAAAAACACAGCAGAAGAGACTTAAAAAGCCAAAAAACAAAAAAATACATTACAATGCATGCACAAAACCACATATATACACATATACACAAATATATATACACACGAAACACATATACACAGACTGGGCCACAGCAATCGCTGGATGTATTGCACTCTACTAAATATACTAAGGAGCCCCCAGTGGCATAGTGGATTAAACCGCTGAGCTGCTGAACTTGCTGACAGAAAGGTTGGTGGTTCAAATCGGGGGAGCAGGGGGAGCTTCTGCTGTTACCCCTAGCTCCTGTCAACCTAGCAGTTCGACTTAATGTCAAGAGGAAACCTTTAAAGATACTAAATATGCCCTTAATTCCAGTGAATGTGGAAAGTTGACTGCATGCAAACATATATGCATATACATGCATGCGTTCATGTGAATGAATACACACACACACATATGTCAATTGTATGTACTAGCCACCCATTAAAATATCTTCAGCCTTCTAACCTCACAGTCCCTATTTACAATGTGTCCATGTGCATAGCAACATTAACTATTCTCTGCCACAGTTCATCCCAGCAACACGCACATTTACAGTCATAATTTCGCTGACAAATCTCAACTCCATCCCAACATCTGAAAGGTATCATCTTTTGTCCTAGACACCTGATTCATGTTCCACCTTTGCTACTTGCAAACTCATGCATGTTTCACTGACAACCCCATCTCATTCACTAAATGCTGATTTTACTAGCCTACATATTTTCCTTATGGGGTATCTACTTACGGTCCCCAAAGTAGCGGAGTTTCCAGCCTTTGCCTTGCACAGCATTATCTGTGTGAAAGATGATGTCAACAATATTGCTTTTAGTCTTGATTTCTGGAGGCCCGGTGAACATACTGCCACAATAAGGACCAAAATGCTCATTTCCTGCTGAGATCTGTAAAAAAAATTTAATAAGAATATTAGTCAAATGTAGAGGATTATTCCTGTTCCGGAGTGCAACAACTACACTGTTGCCTCGAAACCAAGTGAAACCCTCTTATAGTGCCAAGGTAACAGGGATGTCAGGAGGGGAGAGGCTGACTCCCCACGAAAGATTACCACTACCATATCAGCTCTAGATAATTAACTATGGTTTTCTGTAGGCAAGCAGATGGTGACTACTGGATGGCACATGTTTTGTATCAGAAACTAGAGCTGATGTGGTATATCCAATGCAGTTTTCTGAATCAGAGCACTCCAAATAACCAAACTAAATCTAAAGTTGACCAAAAACTGATGTGTAACCTTTTTGGTACTAATGTTGGAAAGTGGACCCTGGTCAAAGTGATCCCTGATCAAAAAAAGGTTGGGAACCACTGGAAGCATACAGTCAAGACATAATCAAGAACAATTATTGGACGAGTCAGGCATCCTCATCTTTCTCTGCTATCACCTACTCTTAAGTCATCAGAACATTTTCCTTCCAAACTAGCTGGCTCCAAATCGAAGTCCTCCTTTCGGATGGTCAGGACTACCCGGTATCCTGGCTCCAAAGCCACACGGTAATCACAGTGCGAATTCTCCGGATATACGTTAGGGTAGTTGGGGCTGGTGATTTCGCCAGATAGTTCAGTAAACACATTTCCAGAGCAGTTCACTAGTTTAGGAAAGAGAAATGGCCAGAAAATCATAAGCAAAGTTAGCAGATGATATTTTCTTGGTAAGGATACTACTTAAACCAGTGGTTCTCAACCTGTGGGTCCCCAGATGTTTTGGCCTTCAACTCCCAGAAATCCTAACTGCAGGTAAACTGGCTGGGATTTCTGGGAGTTGTAGGCCAAAACACCTGGGGACCCACAGGGTTAGAACCACTGAAAAAACTTAAAGACAGCATCTTTCAGTCCTTGTGTTCAACATCCTCTTCTTAACCCAGGAGGATAACATCACCATTTTGAGATAATAATACAAGGGTTGAATGAAAAGCAATGCCTCCACCTTTGTTACTTGGATTTGGATGGGAATATTTTAATAAATCAAACACAGAAATAATCCTTACAATGTGCTCTTTAACTACAACTATTCACTTTTCCACATAATCACCAGACAATTGGATACATTTCTGCCAACTATTAACATGTTTTCTGAAGCCGTCACGGAAGAAGTCAACACTCTGTTTCCACAACCAGCATCTCACAGTTCTCTCAATGTCTTCATCAGAAGCATAATTATGTCCCCGCAGATCTTCTTTCATCATCAGGAATAGATGGAAATCAGATGGTGCTAAATCTGGACTGTATAGAGGATGTTGTACAGTGGTGAGATCCGGTCTCTGAAGTTTCAAGTCTTTGCGCTTTCATTTCAGTCATCAGCATCCTGGGTACCCATCATGCACAGATCTTCCGATAGCCAAGCAAAGCAATAATGTGACCCACACGGTCTTGTGAAATGCAAACCATGCTTGAAATTTCTCTCTGAGTGATATGACGATTGTCCTGAATCAATCTGTCAACCTTTTACTTGTGAAACTTGGTGGTTGCTGTCACAGTACATCCGACTTTTTGTTTGTCAAGCAAGTCAGATGTTCCCACCTCAACATCTTTAAACTTACTCACCCAACGACGCACAGTACTCACATCAACACAATCACCATAAACAGCTTGTATTCTCTGATGAATCTCCTTTGGGGTGATGTGAAGATCCCTTACCTTGCCAGCCAGGGTGGCAGGGCCCAGGAAGAGACAGGCTAGGTAGTTTCAACTTAGTAGGCCTGGCAGAGAGCTGCAGGAGCCATCTTAGTTTAGGGAAGCTCCAGTTCAGAGATGGGGAGTGGCCGAGGCCTGAGCCAGCCCAGCAACAGCCAGGATTGGTTTGGAAAAGGGGGGCGGAGTTAGACAGATGGAGGGAAAAAGAGAGAAGCTTAGTTTGACAGTTCAGTTCAGTTCTGGGTGATGTTAGAGTAGGATTAGGGCTTTAGGAGTCTCTGTTAGGAATAGGCAGCTTGCCTGTAGTTTGTACAGCAAAGTAGGCTGTGGCAGACTAGTTACAGCTATTTTAGAAAAGAAAATAGCTGGGTTTTGTTTAGGAATTGTAACAAAGAATAGAACCATTCTCTCAAGCAACCGTTACGCTTCTAAGAACCAAGAACACTTTAATTGTAACAGCCAAGCCTCTACAACTGCATTTGCTTTATTCTGTAACTTGTATTCAATAAACCTTTCTTGTTATTTTTAAAATTTAAGCCTGAGTCAAGTGCATTCTGTAGAGTCAGTCCCCTTTCATTTTTGAATCAACCTCTCCTGGTCCCCCTCAAAGAAGCCCTTGTTAATACACAGTACTTGGTGGAATAAAAAGCCTTTTAACATTCTAATTAGCTAGAGGGTTCCTGATTATTTGGTTTATGGTGGCAGCGAAGGTTTTAATAAAGAGACATCCCCTCAATCGCTATAGGTGCCAAAGTGGTGTGAATTCCTTATCAAAGGAGGGACAGTGTTTGGGATCTGTTTGCCCCCTGTCCAGTGATATTGTTTGGCCATAAAGACTGCCTTTATGATTAGGGGTAGATGGTGGGATTGATCTTATAGCCATCTGCCTGGTTATTATAATTGGTGGGGCAGTGGTGGGTTTTGCTTTACCCCCTGCCCAAAGAGCATAAAGGAGCCTTTATAAATTGGTTGGGCAGTGGTGGGATTCCTTGACCCCCTGCCCAGACGGCCATCAAGAGCGTATAGCCTTTATAGGTGACACCTTCTGCTATCAAGAATTCAATAACTACACATTGCTTAAGTCACATTGACCAACCATCTGTGCAGGGTTCCATACTTCCCACTTTAACAACACAACCATTCAATGCTAAGGCTTCCTGCCAAAATGGAACTGTAAAGGAGAGTCTACTTAACAAGCCAGTACCTGCAACATACCAGTACTGCCATCTGTTGAGGAGTTATGAAGGTGGAGACATAACTTTTCATTCAACCTTCATATGAACAAAAAAAGTAAATAGCCATTTTTACCAGTGAGTGTGTGCATACACGTGCACACATATGCAAGTAAAACATCTAAGCAAATACTAAGCTCAATAATGTCCATTTCTTTCCCATTATCTGAACATTCAAAATATCATCACTGTTTCTTCTCTTTTGGTTTGTGGGCTTTGCTTGCTTCCAAAAAAATCAGTTTTTAAATCTTAAATTGAAAAGGTTTGATAATGGAAGCATTAAATCCACCAGTCCCAATTTGTAGACACCTATTTGAATCTCTTCTGAAATAAGCCACAATTCCTTAAAAATGAAAAACTGTGCCGGGTCATGCTGTTCAATTGCATTCACTGACTCCTTTTACCAACAAGGGCAGCTAAATAAACCAGGAAGCCTCCATCTCTAGTTTGTTGAAGAATGCATCTGGATCAGAATCACCAACCAAACCAGAATTATAAACCAAGTCTGGCTCATGGTTCTGTCACAAGAACAAGCTGAAGATGCTCATTTGGACTTAGCTAAGCAACCCAAAGCAAAGTTTCTTGGCTCCTGTAAGCACTATCAGAAAGAGCCAAGCAGGAAGGACTGAACTGCTTGCTCTTTTCTGATAAGCAAGAATTAGAAGGAACCAAGTCCTTCAAAAGTTTTTCATGAAAAGCTGGACATTTTTCCAATTCCTAATTTTAAGCTTTTCCTTGCTGAAAGAGGAACATGGGTTGAGAATAGACGATGTGTCCTGTGATTTAACTAATTTAATCTATCTCTGCTTCTGAATAGCCAGAGCTCCCTGCTTCTAAAGATTTTCACATTTCCAAAGTGGAATGAGAAAGTTCTTCCCAGCTTGGACATTAACAAGTAACATAAAGAGTGCTATTACCGGGGAAATTTAACCGAGTCTCTTACCTCCACATGTCTTTTGATCCTCGTGCAAGAAATATTCAGCCGGACAAGAGCAAAAGTAGCCACCAATGTAGTTATTGCAGTAATGACTGCAGGGCTCTTCTACAAAATCTGTGCACTCATTCAGATCTGAAAGAAACGTAGAGTGGGGAATAAATAACAAAAGATGATGTGGTGCAACCGCCCATCCCCACCAATGACAGGGCAGGTACATCACTGGGGCAAAGGCGAAACTCACGCTATTTTGTTGTCACGAGGTAACAAATAGACAGACAGAGACAAAAGCACACAGAGAGAAAGGACCTTGCTGTACTTTGTCAAAACGAAAAACAACAGATTCCTTCCAAATCTTATGCCCTATCCTACTTAAGAGCCTTGGTCACTCTTCTGCTATTCCTTCTTGTATCTTCCAGTTAGTTTATCCACTTCATCTTAAACGAACACATAAAGCCATTCAACAACTCCCCTTCATGTGCTTTTTGCACAATTTGTTCTCTGAGTGAAAGGGAGCATGAGTTAGGCTGTCCCTTTTGATATGGGATCAACTTTTGGTTATTTTATTTATTTATCATGTTAGAAGTGAATTGGGGGTACAGTTGTAATGTATTTAAAAACACAAAGAAAGTTTAAAACTAGGCATTATACTAAATGTCCTTTGACCAGTCACTGGCCACTTGGAGTGCCTATGGTGTTGCTATAAGAAGGTCCTCCATTGTGCATGTGGCAGGGCTCAGGTTGCATTGTGGTAGGTGGTCTTTTCCGCACTCACACGTCGTGGACTCCACTTTGCAGCCCCAGTTCTTAAGGCTGGCTCTGCATCTCGCGGTGTCACAGTCTGTTCAGTGCCTTCCAAGTCACCAAGTCTTCTGTGTGCCCAGGAGGGAGTTCTCTCATTTGGTATCAGCCATGGATTAAGGTTTTGGGTTTTAGCCTGCCACTTTTGGACTCTTGTTTGCTGAGGTGTTCCTGCAAATATCTCTGTAGATCTTAGAAAGCTATTTTTTTGATTTAATACATTAGTGCGCTGGCTGATATCTGAACAGGGAATGGGCTGGAGATGTTATTGCCTTGGTCTTTTCATTATTGGCTGCTACTTCCTGACGGATGTCAGATGGTGCAATACCAGCTAAACAGTATAATTTCTCCAGTGGTGTAAGCCGTAGACATCCTGTGATAATGCAGCACATCTCATTAAGAGCCACATCCACTGTTTTCATGTGGTGTGATGTGATGATGTCCTTTCCCCACGCTTTGCCTTGCTATCTAGGGGCACCATTTGAGGAACATTTACACATCTGGGCATGTCAGGTCACATGTGACAAATTCTCAAGAGCACTAACAATTCTGATCATATCCTAGTCCCACATCCTAGGTAAACACTGGAAGAAAAAATATCATAGGGGCCAACAAGATACATCTCTTGCAGCAGTGTATGTGTTTGTGTGTGTAAGAGTATTGATTTGTCCTGTGGTGATCATCTTGCTATAGTTCAGGAGTATTAAATTTTTTACCCATAACTCTTCTTATTAGGCCGAATTTGTCTGCAGTTGGCTCTTGGACTTTTGAACCATGCAAACAACTTTCCTTCCCTGCTCAGTGAAAACTGAAATGGTGTCCCTGAAGCCTCTCCATCCCATGGTACTCCTGGAAGGAATCATGTGCCTACAAAACAAAGAAATATCAGCCAAGGGCTTACCCACTGCGGTATAATAAGCAGCAAACCCAGTGAATCTTTCTTCATTGGAAAAATCAGACTGAAAGGTAATAGTCAAGGTATTGTAGGGGATATGAAATTCCTCCAGGATATTAGAGCCACGGGAGCGTCTTGTCTTGTGACCACAAAGCTGGCCCTCAACATGGCTACCAGACATGATCTGAAAGAGACAGAAAGACAGACAGACTTTGGTCTCTGCAATTGAAATGTGTCATAATTGATTGTTAGCATTATATCTGGCTGGAGCAACACAATTCCATATGCATGAAATTAGATCCAAATTGGATTGTTGTAGGTTTTTCGGGCTATATGTATCAATGGCAAGCATCCTCAGAGGTTGTGAGGTTTGACCTCACAGCCTCTGAGGATGCCTGCCATAGATGCAGGTGAAATGTCAGGAGAGAATGCTTCTAGAAACATGGCCACATAGCCCCAAAAACCTACAACAACCCAGTGATTCCAGCCATGAAAGCCTTTGACAATACATAGATCCAAATTAGTTGTACTTTGAGTTGGCCCTCTGGAAACAATGGACTTTAAACAATCAAGACTACTCATATCTACTGTGCATATGACTCAATCCAGATCCAAACTAGAATACCCTTTCCATATTAGGCTGGTATCATCCCACCTCCGTTTTATAAATAGGGCTCTAAAAAGCATTTTAGAACCTTGGCTCGATAGCAGTATGTGTGAAAAAGATCTTGGGAGTCCTCGTGGACAACAAGTTAAACATGAGCCAACAATGTGATGCAGCAACTAAAAGAGCCAATGGGATTTTGGCCTGCATAAATAGGAGTATAGTGTCTAGATCCAGGGAGTCATGCTACCCTTCTATTCTGCCTTGGTCAGACCACACCTGGAATCACACTGTGTACATTTCTGGGCACCCCAAATGAAGGGAGATACTGACAAGCTGAAATGTGTCCAGAGGAGGGCGACTCAAATGATCAAGGGTCTGGAGAACAAACCCTATGAGGAGTGGCTTAAAAAGCTAGGGACGTTTAACCTGCAGAAGAGAAGGCTGAGAGGAGACATGATGAGGGCCATGTATAAATATGTGAAAGAAAGTTATAGGGAGGAGGGAGCAAGTTTGTTTTCTGCTGCCCTGGAGACTAAGACGCAGAACAATGGCTTCAAACAACAGAAAAGGAGATTCCACCTTAACATTAGGAAGAGCTTCCTAAGTGTGAGAACTGTTCAGCAGTGGAACTCTCTGCCCCGGAGTGTGGTGGAGGCTCCTTATTTGGAGGCTTTTAAACTGAGGCTGGATGGCTATCCATCGTGGGTGCTTTGAATACAATTTTCCTGCTTCTTGGCAGGGGGTTGGACTGGATGGCCCACAAAGTCTCTTCCAATCCCATGATTCTATGGTTCTATGATCTCAATGCCTCTTTTAACTTGGTGAATTAGGAAGGGAGCATGGTCAAGAAGGGTAGACATAGGCAGCCTTCCTTTGAGATCAACCATCTGCGGCTCTTGGGCCATTTATAAGGCCTCAGCACTGATGAAGCCCAGAGTCAGATCTCCTTTCTTACCTGTTCATTTAACTTCATAAACGAAAACTACATCCATCAGGAATGGACTGGACCTTTCAGCAATGTGGGGTACTTTATATCAATTCCCTGATTTTTCTTTAAAATGTTTCACTACTTGGCTGCAGAAGATATCTGACCCCTTCAGCCATCACTCTCCGATAATATCTCCAAAGGAACCACATTCACCACCGACACTGCCATATAATTAAGTTGAGTGCAAAACTCACAGCAACCCATTACAACTGATGTTATACAGTTTTGAAATGTCAAAGGCTTTTCTTTATATTTTATACTGTCATTTTTTATAAAGAGTCATAGCTAGACATTGTTTCCTTTTTTTAAAAAAAAGAATAATTACTTCATTATTTATTTCTGATTTATTTCTCAATTGTATTTTTGCCCTGTTTTATTGTATTCTTGTGTTTTATTTATTTTACTGTGATGTTTCTTTTGTGTTTTTGGTTTTATTCTGTTGTAATGCACTATTGGGCTTGGCCTCATGTAAGCCACCCCAAGTCCCCTTTGGGGAGATGGTGGTGGGGTATAAATAAAGATTATTATTATTATTATTATTATTATTATTATTATTATTATTATTATTATTACTATCATCATTATCATTATCCATAGTACAAGCAAAAACAAGGTGAAAGTAGACAATGGAAACAACTGTGTAGCCAATGACATTTAGCTTTATTTAAAAAAACAAACTAACCTGTCAGCTACATCGAGACTTTTGAATACAACCAGAGGAGTACAATTATTAGTTTCTCCATGGTGCTCATAAGCAGCATGGCACATCTTTGTCCAGCAAGCATTCTCATTGTTCAGTTGTTCTTCCCCAAGCACCACCCACCCACCCAGTGAAAGGACATGGCCCTTTACCTTCACAAAATCATACTCGCAGTTTTGAGATGGCTCTATATCCAGGTGGGTGAAGTAAAGGTGAATGCCATAACCTGTGGGAACGCTTATTTCCCAGGACTCTAAAGCATTGTTGGGATATGCCTGAGGATAGTTTGGAGAAAGGATCTCTCCATACATGGAGGATGCTTCAGTGCAAGCCAGGAAGGACCAAGCGATGAAGCTCCTAGAGAAAGAAAAGAAAATTGAGTTGTTTGCCACTTCTACACACAGCTCCAAGAGGCTAGAATTGTCTACAACCTCATCACGTTGGCAAATTTTCCTGATGCAGTCAGCACGGAGCCCATCGGATCTCACTTCTGGCGAGGTTGTGTGGCGGCTGCCGCAGCAAAGTGTTCTACAGTGAGGAACTCTGAACACAGGAGACTACGCGTGTCCAGAATGGAAATGCTGGGGGCAGCACGGAAACAAGCTGGAAAGATACACTTTCCGGCATGTGATGGGGAAGCGGGAGATGCAGGCGATGTGGGGCGCTGGGCGACAGATTCACCCCATGCCCCACTGCCCTACAGATTCCCTACATCAAGAGCCTCCATGTGATGGAGATCCATCTCACAGCTTGGTTTCTCATCCTTAAACTGTATTTATTTATTTATTTACTTATTACATTTGTATCCCGTCTTTCTCACCCCGGAGGGGACTCAAGGTGACCTTACAACAAGCAACAATTTGATGCCATACACACATATCAATAAACAATTACAAGTAAAACCAACAATTAAAACACGAATTATTAAAATATCAGCTAAAATCACACCATCCAAAACATCGTCCTAGGTAGTTCCATTTGTCAATCACATTTGCCAATGACATCTTAAATTTTTTTCCCTGAAGATCAGAAGAGGAGGGGGTGATCTGATTCCATTGGAGAGGGAGTTCCATAGATGACGGGTCACCACTGAGAAGGCCCTGTCTCTCATCCCCACCAGTCGTGCCTGTACTGCTACCAACCATTCTTCTAATGACTCAGGATGTGCAAAAATATATCTGTAGTTTGTTTCTGAATGCTTCAGAACTGAAAGAACAAAGGGAAGTTTCAATTTTTGAGACAAGCAACTGAGGAGCACCTGAAAATTTCTGAGATATCTAACAACATATTTAAACAGGGACAGAGGGGGATTGTTGTTAAGAATAATCATTTTTGTTTTTAAAATGGGCAAATTTTGAGGGAGGGGATGGGTGTTTTGGCTTGCAACATCTCTCCCTGCCCTCTTGAATTATATCATGGCCTTGAATAACTTACCACATCTGTATACTATCCATCTCAACTTCTTTCTCAAAACCAGAATGGTCGAACTTCAGATTTCAACAAACACAAGACACTGCTGAGTCATTTGTTCTTTTTCCCGTCTTCCTCTGAAATAGCCATGGTTGGGAGACACGAAAAAGGGATTACTTCTCTGTTCACAAAGAACTAAGGTAGTAAAGAATTTAGGACTTAAGAAGGAAAATGAATTCCAAACAGCATTCTGTACTGTCATGAATCCCATGTGTCCACAAAGCAGCAGAGAAAACTTGGGCATAAGGCCAGACATTGAGCAAGATGTAGAATCATAGAATCCTAGAGTTGGAAGAGACGTCATGGGCCATCCAGTCCAACATCATTCTGCCAAGAAGCAGGAAAAATTGCATTCAAAGCACCCCTGACAGATGGCCATCCAGCCTTTGTTTAAAAGCCTCCAAAGAAGGAGTCTCTACCACACTCCAGGGAAGAGAGTTCCACTGCTGAACAGCTCTCACAGTCAGGAAGTTCTTCCTAATGTTCAAGTGGAATCTCCTTTCTTGTAATTTAAGCCAATGTTCTGCATCCTAGTCTCCAGGGCAGCAGAAAACATGCTTCCTCCCTTCTCCCTATGACTTCCTCTCACATTTATACATGGCTATTACGTCTCCTCTCAGCCTTCTCTTCTTCAGGCTAAACATGCCCAGCTCTTTAAGCCACTCCTCATAGGGCTTGTTCTCCAGACCCTTGATCATTTTAGTCGCCCTCCTCTGGACACATTCCAGCTTGTCAATATCTCTCTTCAATTGTGGTGCCCAGAATTAGACACAATATTCCAGGTGTGGTCTAACCAAGGCAGAATTGAGGGGTAGCATGACTTCCCTAGATCTAGACACTACACTCCTATTGATGCAGGCCAAAATCCCATTGGCTTTTTTTTTTTTGCCATCATGGGGCAAGACCAACTTAACTTCTACAGACCATGGTACAAGGGTGGCAAATGCTTCCTCCAGGTGTTTTGGCCTACAACTCTCAGAAATCCCAGCCAGTTTACCAGCTGTTAGGATTTCTGGGAGTGGAAAGCCACAACATCTGGGGAGCCACAGATTGAGTACTACTGATTTAACCTATATCCCACTATCCAGAAATATCATTCAATTTTTGAGAAAGCTTTACCTTTTTCTCTTCCGCTCTTTCTGTCTCGGCCTGCCTCTTCTATTTCCCTCTTCTCATTTCTCTACAATGCAAACTGTCCACAGGCAGTTGATAATGTCTGTTCTGAATTGAAGAACTCTGCTCCCCTCTACTGTTTGCCACTGGCATCCTTCACTCTGTTGTATAGCTGAACAATATCAAAAGCGAAAGCAGTGTTCAGATAATTTAGTTGCACAATCCCTATTTTGGCAGGATGAAGTTTGGATTCTTTAAAAAAAAAATCCACCAGAGAGGTCAGATGACTTCTGAGAAGAGAACTGAGGGAAATTCCAAATTCCTGTTGAAAAACAAAGTTATAATATTAGGCAACCACACTGGAGAAATGCCTTAAAATCACTAACTTTCACATCTATTGACTGTCCAATTTAGACTATCAATTCTCTCAGTTTCTCTCTCTCTCTCACACACAGAGTATTTCATTCCCAAACACCTTTCTAGAGTAGTGGTTCTCAACCTTCCTAATGTGGCAATCCCTTAATACAGTTCCTTACTTTGTGGAGACCCACAACCATAAAATTATTTTCATTGCTACTTCATAACTGTTATTTTGCTACTGTTATGAATTGTAATGTAAATATCTGATGCAGGATGTCTTTTCATTGTTAATAATTAAAGCATAGTGATTAATCCCAAAAACAAAATGGATTGGGAGTTGCTGGGATGTATAGTTCCCCTGTCATCAAAGAGCATTCTGAATTCCAGCAACAACTGAATTGAACCAAACTTGGCATACAGAACTCTCATGACCAACAGAAAATACTGGAGAGGTTTGGGGAAAACCAACTTTGACGTTTGGGAGTTGCTGGAATGTATAGTTCCCCTGCCATCAAAGAGGATTCTGAATTCTGAACATGGACAGATTAACCTACTGGCTTACACCCAACCAAGGACTACCTAAAAAAACATACTAACTGGGACCTGGTAAAAGACTACCTAAAACAGATGAAGATTTACCTCATCTGCTGAAGATACCCAATCCTAAGAGAAGAAGTAGATGGAGGGGAAGTGGAACAAGTATAAATACAATTCCAAATAATTTTTAATCACCATCAAAAGTAAGAAGGAAGTCAACAAACTTTTTTATTTTTATTTTTATTTCTCATTTTATTCTTTATTTTTGTATTTTTTTCTCCTTTTCCTCTTCTTTTTTCCTTATCACTTTTTCCTATTTTCTGCACAAGCAAATGTTCTCCCACTTTCACTGTAAAGTTAATTAACCTAAAGCTATTTGTTATTACCCCTTCCTCCCTTCTTTTTTGATCTACTCTCTATATTCTATATGATAAAATCTTAATTAAAATATTTTAAAAAGAGGATTCTGAATTCCAACAACCATTGAACTGAACCAAACTTGGCATACAGAACTCTCATGCAAAGTGCGGTGGTGGTGAGAGCCAGGCAACTGAGGCTTTGCTGGGTTTGCTATTGCCTTCAATCTCCCTGGGCTGCCTGAGCTTGGAGAGTGTGGGGTGGCTGTGGGAATGCCATACTGGATTGTATATGGCAAATCCAGGGTCAAGCTGAATTAATTAGCTTACCACAGGTTGTAGCGCATTAGCATGTGTTCATCTTGTCAATGCACCAGGCTAATGGGTTTCTCACACTGGACTAAATGGCAGTGTAGATGCAGCCTAAGATCAAGTGGCTGAAGCAAAACTATGAGCATTTCCTCTCTTGCTCTTTGACCCTGACCACCATTGAGAGGAGACCTTTTTCAGAGATTGCAATATGCTTATCAAATGTTCTATGGATAAGAAACAAATGTTTTTCATATTATTTCCAAAATGAGACCAATTTGAGAGATAGCAGATCTTCAAGCAGAATGTGGATTCTTGGCCTTAACTTGAATGCAACCCCTCCTTCTCGTTCCAATTGATGGGTGGTTTTCCAGCCTTTGTAGGGTTTTCTTGCTCTATTTCCAAAAGATTTCAATTTTTCTTCTACTTAAAGCAAGTGCTTGAAGCTAAAACTCTGTGTATTTTCCTCCTTGTCCTTTGGCCCTGACCACCACCAAAATGTGGCCCCTTTTGGAGCTAAACTTCTCATGCCTATGTGAAAACATGAAATGAAACGACTAGGTCAGGTAAGCTATTCTTCCTCACTTCAAACATTAATGCAGTGCTTATTGCAGACAATGCTCCTGGAACTCAACACTGAATGTCTGTGGCTGTTTCCACAGAGCCATTTAATCTGGAGCATGTTATTGAGCTATGGTAATCCCTCCCCAGAAAGATTTAGAGTTCAATAAGAGATTATAAATAAATATGATTTCCGTTTTTTAATTAAAAAACCTTTTCCAGAGGTACAGAGTTGTGTAGTTTCAAAGTCTTAGAGGATTAGGAGTGGACCTAGCAGCAGCTGTACCCCTCAACATCTATCGTGCCTAACCCTTTCATAAATGGTATCCATTTGTGATTTCTGTGTAGCTTGTATCTTCCTTACTGTGTACTGTATCAATTTCTTATATGAAATGTATACATTGTTTCTTATATGCAAGTCAAAATGTAATTTGAAGGCAGCCACCTCCCTGTGGCCTTCTTTGTATAATTCCTTGGGAACGGGGGTGTTGGCTAAATCCCTCCAGCTATTTCCCAAGTCAGATAACTACCAGAATCATTGTATTTATGTAAAAACAAATGATCCCCTTTACCAGCAAGGTATGTTCAGGATGTTTGCCCACTTAACCTGAGACTGAGAGTCTGTCACTCCTGCCATAGATGGGGCATTCATTAACTTTCTATAACGATAACCAAGTCCTTGATTGCTTTTGTCTTTTGAGCTTTACACTTTTTTTGCAAAGAACAGAGTTTATCCAAAAGTCATCAGCATATCTGTACCATTTTTCCTTCATCGACTGTGCCTTCCGAAGGGAGGTCACTGCTGCAGATTGACTCCTTGCATAGACTGGAACCGGCTGCCATTCTCCTTACCACCGGAATCTCTGCCTGAAGGCTGTGACATCAATGAAATTCACAGCCAAACCCAGTGCAGATCCCATCTGACCTCTTTTTCAGCCAATCAGGGAAAGGAGCAGGAAGTCTGAATAGCTATCAGAACTGTTTTAGATGTCTTGCATTTTTCTGTACATTAATACTTGTACCTTTTGAAGCAAAGTGCTTGTACTTCCATCTTTTTTTGGCCAAATCACAATAAACCTCTCTGGCTTGTTTTCAACCTGTTGAGTTTTTTTTTCTCTGTCCTGACCTATTTGGTTTAGCTAACGCTCACCGGGCACAGACTCTCTAACCATGGTTCTAAGTAAATCGCTACAAGCAGAATCCCATGGGAATGCTATGCTTAAGGGGGAGGGGCATATTCTTTACTTTCTGGCTGGTCTATCGAAACTGCTTTTGCATTCTGACTGATCCAGTTTAAGCCCTGTTTACATTTGCCTCTATAATTTGCATTTGGGTTACTTCCTGTGGCATGGTTTGTCGCAGGAGGGATTCAGCAGATTGGACCAATACTGTATTTTCTTGATTCCAAGACACACTCCCCCTCTCCCCATATAAACATCTCTAAAAATGGGGTGGTGCTTAAAATTGATGGAGAGATATATACAGTATATATATTTCTGTTGGTGATACTGAAATTAGAGTGCATCTTGCAATCAATGGCTTCTTAGACTCAATGAAACATGGTACTTTGTGGGTGGTGGTGAAGAATATGGTCAAAGGGGATGAAAGAGTCTGGAGAGATTACAGCGCTTCCTCTGAGTCTTCTAGAGGCAAAATAAACTCATAGGAGCAGAATAATGAGGCCCTGTTCAAACTACTAGCAATTACAAAAAGAATGGAGAATCTAATTTTAAACTATTCCTTTAAAATGGAACAAAAATACTTAAACCATTTTTAGACAATTAGTTTTAATGATGCTAGAAAATCAATCACGGCAATTTCATTCAGCTGCTGGTTCCAAGTAAATAGCCATGCAAGTCACAATTAACTTGAGTGACT